CGCTGCGCCTGCGCCCCGCGCTGCTTCCGCTTCCGGTCGCCCTGTCTGGGCCAATCAGCGGCCGCCTGCTCCGGAAGTCCCGCCCCGCCCGCGCCGCGGCTCTCCTGCCCCCAGCCCCTAGAGGGCGCTGCTCGCAGGGCCGTGCTGCTGCGACTCGTCCGGGCACAGCCCCGGGGCAGCGGGAAGCCTGATCCCAGTGTCACACCAGGGGCCTCTCGCCCCACAGGCTGAGAGCAGCACAGAGCATTAGTGCCCTGCAGACCTGCAGATACCCCCTCGCAGCGGCGGATGGGCCGCGGCTCTCCTGCCCCCAGCCCCTAGAGGGCGCTGCTCGCAGGGCCGTGCTGCTGCGACTCGTCCGGGCACAGCCCCGGGGCAGCGGGAAGCCTGATCCCAGTGTCACACCAGGGGCCTCTCGCCCCACAGGCTGAGAGCAGCACAGAGCATTAGTGCCCTGCAGACCTGCAGATACCCCCTCGCAGCGGCGGATGGGGATAGCTGTAGCTCAGTTCGGTGGCTGGAGATACACGTTTTGTATGCAGAACCCTGAACATTTGCAAAGATCTGCTTTATACTCCTGGGTATCCACATCCATGGATGGGGATATCCTCAATCACTTTCCCAGATGCAGCTGCAGATACCAATTTTGTATCCACACAGGGCTCTTCAGGCAATCATAGAGCTGAAGAGACCTTAGGAGTTCACCAAGTCCAGCCCCCTGCCCAAGGCAGGACCAATCCCACCTAAATCAACCCAGGCAGGGCTTTGTCATGCAGTGACTTAAAAACCTCTAGGGCTAGAGAGTCCACTGCCTCCCTAGGTAACCCATTCCAGTGCATCAGGTGATCTACCCCCTGTTTATTCACAGCTCTGGCAAACAGGCGACACACCATCCTTGCCCATCCATGAATTTATAGGAATTGTTATTGTCTTAGCCTTCACAACATCTTCTGAGAAGGATTTCTACAGGTTGACCATGTGTTGTTTGGAGAAATACTTCATTCCTTTTTATATAAACCTGCTAGCTATTCATTTCATCAGGTGACTCTCTAGTTCTTGTGCCATACAGAATAAATAACATCTTATCTACTTTGACAATACAAGTCATGATTTTATAGACCTTTATAGACCCTTTCACCACTTTTCCAAGCTGAAAAGACCCAGTCTTATTAATTTCTCATCATACATAAGCCATTCTATACCCCTACTAATTTTTGTTTCCCTTTTCTAAACCTTTTCCAATTTCAAAATATCTTTATTGAGATGGGGCGACCACATCTGCATGCAGCATTCAAGATGTGGGCGCACCATGGATG